TGATAATGATGATCATGATGCTGACGATGATGATGCTGCGGATGATGATGCTTCTGATGCTGACCATGATGGGGCTGATGATGATGATGCTGCTGATGCTGATGATGGTGATGGTGATACTGATGGCGATGCTGATGATGACGACCATGATGATGATTATGATGATGATGATGGTGGTGATGATGATGATGATGATGATGATGATGATGATGATGATGATGATGATGATGGTCGTGATGACGACGATGATGGGGACGAGGATGAGGATGAGGATGAGGACCATGTTCATCGTCTTCATCGTCATCATCAGCATCAGCACTGTCAGTATCGCTGTCACCACCATCATCACACTTGGGTCCAGACCCCTGGGGCCCCACGCTGTGCACCAAAACGACGACGTCAGGTGTCACTGGGCGGGCCTGGGCCGGCGGGCCTGGGCGGGCGGCCCCCCGGCGCCACCCAGAGGAGCGCCTGGGACTGGCGCCGACGGAGGACCAGCGGCACTTCAAGAGGCGCCGGGAGGGGGTGGGGAAGGCAACGATCGGGGCGCGCAGCACACTCGACTAGACGTAGGAGTGGCCTCTCGCTGGAGTGACCTCTGGGTCCCGGGCCCAGTGGGGTCCCCCGATCGCGGAAGGCGAAGCGGTAGCAGCGGCTTGCGCGCCCAAGTTCGCCGCGTCCCCCGTCCACGCGTTTAGCCGCGGTGTGCGGCTTGGGCCACCCCGCGGGTCACTCTTGCGCGTATCGGGACGATCGAGATGGGTACGGAAAGAATGGGTACAATGCCCAACAGCGGTCCCTGTGCATTTTGAACAGGGCTCGCTGTCCGCGCCGCCGCGGCCTGTGTCCACTTGAGACAGAAGGCCGCCTGCCCAACAGCGGCCGCTGTTGATTCGGGACAAGACTTGCTGTTGGGCACTGTGCCCATTCTTTCCGTACCCATTCCGGGCGTCCAAAGTGTAGCCGAGATCCCGCCGACCGCAGCACATGCCAATGGAGAGTCGAAGAACACGAATACGCAGGGTTGAATAGGCCAAGCCTAGAAGTTCCGGACACCTGGACACTCCCCAAACAAAACGCACCCGACGGTGTGATTTGTTTGGCCTGTGCCCCCCGAAGTCCCGAGCCTTCTCCCTGGGGGTTCTGCTGTGCTCGGGGCTGTTTCTGTCGGCCTCGGCGCCCGAACTTGAATGGAGAGACACGGTGCGCAGCACTCCTTCGGACCCTCGTGACGGACTCTTCTGTCGGCGGCGAGCTCGTGTGGAGCTCGTGTGTGCAGATTACATGCATGAGTTGCCACATGGGCGACGCAACAAACCGGGTTCGTCCGCGCTGACACTGGCGCGTAAGCTGCCCGCGTAAGCTGTTAGGTCCCCACGTACGGGATAGGAGGTGCCTGGGCCTTCCCAGAGAGGTTCGAGAGATAAGCGAAAACCTTCCTCTTTTCTCTCCTTCCCTCCTCTCGTTCTTCCTTTGGTCCTTACATCCTCCTCCATCTAGCCCCTCCTTCCTATACCTGCCAGTCAAGCTTAGGCTCGCGCGTATGCGCCTTTTTCTCCCGTGCGGCCTGCGGCGCGGGCGGCCCGCGCGAGCCGCCGCGTGAGGTCGCTGCGCCGTCTCGCGTAGAACCCGTTTTTGATCGTTGCTGCTGTTGTTGTTGCTGTTGCCTTGGCATCGCTCGGACGTGTGCATTTTTCCTTCGGCGAGGACCTTCGAGGAGCATCCTCGACCATCTGGCGAGAAAAACACGCGCGAAACCGAACAAAGCACGGGGAATGGACGCCCGAGCGATGGCCAGTTGCTGCTGCTGCTGCTGCTGCTGCCACTGTCTGGCCCTGACACTGGTTCGGATGCAGCTCCTGGGAGGTCAAACTCTCACTTTGCCCTCGTCCGACATCCGGTTCCATCCCGCTTGATCTGGCTTGATCCCAGTCGATCTGCTTTACTCCCGCGTAATCCGCGGCCTACTCTGGCGTAGTAGCTCTTCATATGGGCTTCACTTCTCCCTGAAATCTTCCCGACGAAAACCTCCCAGCAGTTGCCTCCCAGCATTGGGCGGCGGAACCTCGTATTTGGTGGCGGGGGACAAGGCGGAGGGATGGAGGAGGAGAAGGAGTAGTGAGAGAGCACGAGGCAGCGTGGCGGAAGATAAAGATCATGATGAGCAGGAGGAGGGAGAGGTGGAGGAGGAGGAGGAGGAGGAGGAGGAATGATAAGATCAAGAAGACAAAGCAATAAGAGAAGGAGGAGGAGGCGGAGGAGGAGGAGGAGGAGGAATGATAAGAGGAGCAGCAGCAGCAGCAGCAGCAGCAGCAGCAGCAGCAGGAGCAGGAGCAGGAGGACGAGGACGAGGAGGACGAGCCGTGGCCCGGCCGCCGCCCGGAGGCAGCGCTCCTCGAGCTCCCCGCGGTTGGAGCCCGCGGAGGCCGCCGCCGCCGCCTCCGGCGGCCCCCGGCGGCCCTCGGCGGCCCAGGCAGCGGTTCGGGTCGCACCACCGTGGGGCTGGACCGCATCCCTCCCTTCCGAAGAACAAAGTCGGGGGCCAGCAAGGGGGAGGAGGAATCGGAAGGAGACAGCTTGCTCAGAAGGCGGCGAGACATCTCTGAGAAGCCCTCGCGCCTTCCGAGACGTTTTTTGTTCTGTCCTCGGGGAAGGCTTAACAATCTTCTCTGAAGGCCAGGGGACTTCAGAAACTTCTGGAAGGCCTGTTCCTTCTTGCTTCCCCCCCTCGCTCGCCGCCAAGAAGTACATCATTTCTCGGAGCTCCGCGCGGAGTCCGCGGTGGGCCCCTCTGGCGGCGCCTCCGCGCCACCGCTGGCGCTCTCCCCCCCCCCCCCAGGCAGGGGGGCCAGCGCCGAGCCAAGGAATACGCCCGAACCTCAAAGACCTCTGGAGAGGGGGGGGGGATCGGAGTCTGACATCCCCTCGTGGCGCAGTTTGTAAGTAGTTTCCGCCTCTGGAGGCCCTCACCGGGCACCGGGGTCGTCAAGAGAAGACTCAGGATGAAGAGGTGGTCCAGGGGGAGGGGTCCAGACTTCGTGGGTCCAGGCCTCGGACGAAAGGCGCAGGCGACGGTCTCGGGCCAGACGAAAGGGTGGAGACTCCGTGGGCGGGACACATCTCCATATCCACGGTCTCGCGGGCAAGGTTCCTGGGCCGCGATCTTTGGATCGGGGCGTTTTCTCAAGGGTGCCATGCGCGGAGCGTGTCCATGCGACTGCGTATCCACGGGATCGCGTCCCGGAGTCCAGACCGCGAGGGCGTGGATATGGACATGCTCGCCGCTTTGGGAATTGGGACAGAAAGAAGGGAGACGAGAGAGGAGGGAGGACGGATGATGGAGAAGGAGGGAGGAGGGACGAGAAACGAGGGACGAGGGACGAGGGATGAGGGACGAGGGACGAGGGACGAGGGAGGGAGGAGGGAGGAGGGAGGAGGGAGGAGGGAGGAGGGAGGAGGGAGGAATCGAATCGAATCGAGCTCTGGGGGCATTAAGTCAGATTGTCCACTCGTGAGAGGCCTGGGCCACTCCTGATACATTCGCATCAGTTTACAACTACAATCTGCTTGCAACTCAGCCCTGAGGACCCATCAGGGGACTTTGCAGTCCTGCCGTGCTGGCAGGAGGTCTGCTCTGGCGATCTGCGGCACTCTCATTTGTGGAAGACTGAGAGGCCGCCTCGCACCTGCATGTCACAGGGTCACCCCCCTGTTAAACAGTTTGTTGTCCACCCTCGAACGCCCAAGGGCGAAACCCGAACGACCGAGCCACCGAGGCCCGACAAACAGAAGGAAAAGCACCGAGGAAAAAAAACAGAGGGCCAGGAGCAAGTTCGAGGGTGGACGAGGGCACAGAAGCTAGAAAAAGTTCAAGAACTAGGCGGAGGGTGTGGGGCCTCAGGGTTGCTCGGAGCACTTCCCGTCCCCCTCCCTCCTCTCTTCGGTCGGGCGCGTGGTGGCTGGATCACCGTTGCTGTATTCACTGCCTGTCTGATAGCTGCTTCAACTGGAACATATCCTCTCTCCACCAATGCCAACAGTCTCTCTGAAGCCGTCGCTATCTGCACTCTCTGTACATGCGTCAATCTTACTTTGGGCCGACCGATCTCTACTCCTTCTTACCCTTCCCCTTCTTGGAGGACCCTGCCTCGAGCTCCTCGAGCAGGCTCTGGGCGGCCCTCTCGAGAGGTCCGCGCGGGGGCGGACCGTGTTTCTGGATCGCCTGGTGGGCCAGCAATATGCGGACGCATACGCTCTGCAGCTCGTCGTAGCTCTGGTGCATCGCGAGGGATAGTTTGGCCATCTCTGATTTGCCCTGCTTCTGCTTGGCCATCTTGCATTTGCAATACAGTACTTTGCCCAGCAGGTCGCCCGCCTTGCATTGTGCCCCAGCGATCTTCTCCATTAGAACTGGGTGAGGATCTCGGCGTCGCGCTTCTCGATGTCTTCGTACTCGCCCAGTCCGCGGAGAATGGCCGCGAAGATGTGGATATGAAGGGCGGGCCGAGCTCCTCCTGCTTCACGGGGTCGTCCTTCAGCGACTTCGCGGTCTCGTGGTAGTCCCTGCCCTGCTGCATCATGGACTTGACCACGGGGGAGTCGGCGCTGATGAGGAGCGTGACCCAGAGCATCCCCGTGAGTTCTCGAATTTCTGCGGCGTTGGTGAGCGCCAGTTTGGTAAGCACGATCAGTAATTTGCTCACGGTGTTGACCTCCTTCGCGTCGCCGCCCAGCAGGTCCGAGAGGAGGCGGGTCTTCTTCGGGCCCTTGGTGTCGCCTCCCTCTCCTGCCCTCTTCAGGCCCCACGTGGGGTCGCCGAACTTGAGAGCCATGACCCCGCTGAGCAGCTGTGTCCGCCAGACAGTCCAGGGGAGGCAGGTGTGTTCTGATGTGCTCCTGTAGCTCTTCAAACGTTTGAGCCCTATGATCACAGAGGTGGCAGTCCACTCTGTCTGGATGCATTCGCCCTCCGAACAACCTCGACTGGTCATTACATCGGCCTCCACGAGAAACTGTAGCGAGTAAATGTCTCTGGGCCGTCTTCACGCAGCTAAATGTGACCAGGCAATAGGGGCACACATTCGTGTTGACCGCGCGTGTCCATATATCCCTCATACCGTGCTTGGCCATCCTGTGCTGTGTGACCCCCTTGTATGTAGTAAACGTGCATGTGCATACTGTCCCCGTCTCATTCCGATACCCACATGTCCATTGAGTAGTGTCTGCATAAATACTGGGGCGTGCGGGTTCAGGAGGTGGTCGTTGAGCAGGGGACCAGCCAGGGGGCGGAATAGCACTCATATAAATCCCTCTTCGTAACACCGTGAAATCCTGCATCAAAAATACATGTTTCATTTCGTCATCTGTGAATAAGTCCAGCCATCCCGTGCGAATTTGACTGCCCAAGAACCCTCCCTCATCATCGAGTCCTCCTTCACCCTGCAGAATGTCGTCTCGCATCTGTTTCGCCCATGGGTTCGCATCGTCCCGCAACTCGCTCTCCTCGATCGTC